GCCTTCTTGGCAACAAGGACGCACTGTTGACTCATATCCAGCTTCTCATCCACTGTAACCCTTAGGTCCTTTTCTGCAGAACTGCTTCCTAGCCACTCGGTCCCTAGTCTGTAGCGGTGCATGGGATTCTTCCGTCCTAAAAGCAGGACTCTGCACTTGTCCTTGTTGAACCTCATCAGGTTTCTTTTGGCCCAGTCCTCTAATTTGTCTAGGTCCCTCTGTATCCTATCCCTACCCTCCAGCGTATCTACCACTCCTCCCAGTTTAGTGTCATCTGCAAACTTGCTGAGGGTGCAATCCAAGCCATCCTCCAAATCATTAATGATCCTTGGGCCCCTGAATGCCAATGTAACACATACTAAGAGCAGATGCTGCCAGGTCACTAGCACTGTGGAGGATGGTTCATGCTCTGTCCCCAGAAGCAAACCCAGCTGGGAGCTCACAGGTGAGCTGAGATACCACACAGCAGTTCAGCAGCAGCTCTGCAAGGTGCCTTGATCTCTGCTCCATGCCAGCACAGAGTCCAGTCTGCATCAATCCTGGCAGAGTGGCCATGGCGATGCCGGGATCATGCCAGGGATAGCCAGCTGTATGTCCACACTCAGCCCGGATCCTTGGGTTAGTCTGGAAACTGACGCAGACAGGGAGGCAGGAATGCTGCATCCTCGCACACTGAAATACCAACAGTGCCACAACCCCCCTGCCCCAGCCCTGCACCCTCCCACACGCGGATAATGCCGGGAGGTCCGAGCTAGGAACAGCACAGCCCCGGAGCCTGACAATCTCCCCATGCCCTGCAGGAAGGGGTAGGTGGGAACTGTCTTAGCAGGGACTCTCGACTCAGCCTGCCGGCCAGGAGGGAGCTGTACGGCTCCAGGCTCCCTTCCCTGCTCCCTCCTAGATCCGGACGGTGTTGATGCGGAGTGGCTGCACGTTCTTGCCATTCGCGTGGCTCTGGCCAGGACTGAAGTACGAGCAGAGCTTGCCGGGGAACTTCTCCCGGAAGGTGTACAGCCACGACATGTCATCAGCGTTGTAGAAGATCAGGAGCCCTTTGTCATAGTCCAAGAAGACACCTACTTTCTCCAGCTTGCTCTTAACATTGAGCCGGGTCCAGGGCTCGGTGCAGGCGCTGTACTGGTTGCCGTCGTGCATGACGATGCAGTAAAAGCCGCGGCTGGGCTGGATCTGAATGCTCCCCTTGCGGGTGACAGCCTCATGCGCCAGCCCGATCATCCACTGGGTCTTCTCCGAGACGATGACCTCCCAGTAGTGCACGCCGCTGCCGAAGGCCTCTGAGCCCAGCACCGACACCTCCACGTCAAAGCGCTTGGGTGAATCCTGCAGCGGCTGCGGGTGCAAGTTGCCGTAGGCCACGATGGTGCAGTCATCCGAGAGGATGAGGCGCTGGTGAGCTGTGACAGGGTCCAGCGTGAGGGCTGCTGGCACTGGGAAAGCAAAGGAGGGACAGGAAGGGGCTCAGAAGCTAGCCACACCTCCACACGGCTAGTCAATTACAGGCAAAGCACTCGATTATGTAAAGGGAATGTAAATGCCCCCAAAATAGGGGCCTGCAAGCACCCACCCAGCTACCCCTCACACAGACAGCACTGAGCAATGATCCACAGGGACACCAGAGGGCACTGAGCTGAGGCACGTGTGATGGGGTCAGTCAGGTGGCTGGGCAGCCAGCCCCCTGTAACTCCCCATCTGCCCCTGTGCTGCATGCAGGGACTGGCCCCACAGGCCGGGAAAGCTGATGGAGGGACCTTCTTGGGACCCTGGAGCACGGGAGAGGCCGCAGAGCTAGCCTCTAACCGGCCCCCGGGACTCACACCTGTGACACTGCTTAGCAATCCCTTTGGCACTGAGGCTTCCTTTAGGAGGAGGAAGATGCAAAGAGCTAGGGAGTGCTCTTATCAGAGTGCAGAGCACATGCACAAATGCGCCAGGGCCTCGGAGATGGGGGCTGATGCTTTGGGGTCTTTCTGGGGGACCCCCTCCGGCCCGAGAGCTCCCCCAGTGGTGGGAGTTAGACACACAGATCAACGCCCTGGGTGAGCTGCTCTGGGGTGGGCTAACAAACACACCAAACAGGTGTGTCGCAGCGCATGGCTCTGCTGGGCTCCCAGCTCGAGATGTATCAGGCTAGCTCTGACTGAGCGAGCACGCTAAAAACAGGCAGGTAGCCACGGTGGCACCAGGGGCCGGCCGCCCCACGAGACCCTAGGTGCAGATGCAGGGTGGCTAACGCTCCCCCGCCTGTGCAGCTGTGGCTGCAGCTCGATCAAAGCTAGTGTGGGTACGTCTGGAAATTACACCCCAGCGCCAGTGCAGATGTAGCCTCCGTGTGTGATGCCCCAGCACAAGCAGCAGCTTCCTTGGTGTCTGTAGCGGGATCCCCCCAGCGAGCTACAGAGGGTGACAGCACTTGCCTCCACCCAGCCTCAAGGAATCTTTGATGAGGGTGGGTCTATGGATACAGGGGAATAGGGGAGAGTGGAGCCAGGAGGCCCGAGGGGGCAGGAATCTGGCTGCAAGGGGGAGTAGGGCACTGGAGAGCAGCTCAGAGGTGCCGCAGGAGAAGGTGGGGCAGCTGGAGGGAAGCACCAGAGCTCCCTGCCTGCTCCATCTAACAGACCTCCTGGGGTTTGGCAGAGGAGCCCCACGCTGCTCGGAACCACGGGGCAGGGTACAAGGCCAGCTCCAGGCTGGCTGGGGCAGTACATGCATGGGGCGCCTTGCTGGGGGCCCCAGGATCCAGAGAGACTGGCTCCCTCACAAGCTTTGGACAAGCAGTTCTCTTTCCCCATTGCCCAGCCCCCCCCAGTGAGGGGGTTCCTGTGGGGAAAGGCCCACAGCCTCCTCCATGGAAGCTCAGGTCCCCAGTGCTCACTGATGTCCCATGCTGGGCTTGGCAGAGCTGATGCTGCCTAGCGATATTAATTAACACCATTGGTAACTTCCCATTCATCAGCGAAAGGCTGGTGCCAGGCACTCGAGCTCAGCGAGGGGAGCCAGGCACGGTGATTTCATCCCTCTCCTTTCTCTTGGTTTTGCTGCAGAGTGGTAAAGTCCACCCCCCACACGCGCTTTTGGAATGGTGAGGGATGCTTCCATGATTAGACAGTCATAATTCAGGAAGCCCTTGTCCAAGTCGCTTCAAAATTTATAGACAAATTTGACCATGGCCCCAGGTCTAACTTACCAATTCTGAGGCCAATCTGACTTATTTTGTGGATGGAGGAGGGACAGGGGGAGAAAACTTGGTCTAAAAGGGAATCCCACAGTCACAATGGGTGGGCACCACTCGGAATCTGGCTCTTTGCAACCCAGATCCCGCCAACCCGTCAAAGGAGCTAGTCCCCACGGAGGCTGCAGGGAGCGTGACAGCTGCTGAGCAGAGTGCAGAGACAGGTGGGTTTGGAGCAATGGCAGAGCTGGCACAGTGCCATTGCACTTGACAGACCTTACGCCCAGGAGGGACAGAGGGTGAGGCCTGAATAAGCAAGAGCGGAAAGGCCGGCAGGCCTGGAGCAAGCTCTCGTACAGGTCCGTGTCTCAGCAGAACAGCTCCATGTCCCAGAGGACAGATCGGCTAATTAATAAACATCAGTTGTGAATGTCTGTATTAGGCACGGAGCTCAGTGGCAAGAAACCCAGCTAGAAATGGAATTAACCCCCACCTCCCTGGATTAACCCTCCCTCCCCAGCCTGCCCCCAGGGCTCTGCCTCCCCCAGCTGGTCTCCAGGCCAGCTCCAGCTGGGGCCATATCCTTGCACTGCAGGCCCCCATGCTCCGTTACCACAGCAGTGGAAAAAGCCCTGCAGAGAGGGCCTTTGTCAGCCTCTGATGTGTTCTCCCTT